CCCAACAGATCCATTGGCTCTGTGTCCTGGGGCTGAGGCAAAAAAGGGACCTCAGACAGGTGGGGCCTTGGGGAGGGGGCAGGTCACCAGGAATCCAGCCCTTGCCTTCACCCTGCTTGCGTCCCTTCACCTCTGTGAGTAAGCAGACCGACCTTGTGGGGTGGTGGTGAGGACGGGCGCGCCAGCAGGCATCAGGACATGGGAGCTGAGTGTGCAGGGGGTGCTCACTCTGTCTCCTCCAATGTCTGCCCGCTCCCCCTCCTCCCCCAGCCCAAGTACCCACCTTTCTCCCTGCTTTCTCTGCCTCTCTCTCTCCTGTTCTGCTGCTGTGTCTCTGTTCTGTCCCCTTCTGTCCTGATTTTGGTCATTTCTGGTGGAGCTGCCAGACTTTGCAAAGCCCTCGCCCCCTTCCCCGGTCTGCTGGCCCTCGTGCTCCCTCCTGCCACAGACCCAGCACGGTGACACCGTGTCAGGACAAGATGAGAACATGCAGCCCCACACTGGCCCCTGTGCACGCTGCCAGTCTTGCAGCCTGGCGAGGACCCGAGGGCCCAGGCGCCAGCGCTGGCAGGGGCACGTTCTGCCAGCGACTCAGGCCTGTGTGTGCCGAGGATGCCTGGCGTCCCCAAGGAACGCTGAGTGGGAACACCATGAAATATTGACACTAGAAGCCTAAAATAACTAGGCCTTCCATCCTGTGCTGCCTCCAACCCCAAATTAGGTGAGATTCCAGCATCAGCGGCAAACGCAGAAGATGGTGGAAAAACACTGAATAGGATGTGTATGTTCCACACACCTTGGTTTTTTGATAGCTGGGGAGAGACTTTGATGGGCCTGGGAGGGCAGGGCGCTTGCCTGCAACTGAGCGCTAGTGCCTTCCCTAGGCCGGGGACTGGCTCTGGCCGGTCCTAATGCTTCTCCCCTGGACTGGCTGGCATGTGGAAGGGGCTCCCCTGGGGGGCTCTGGCGCTGCAGCCTAGGAAGAGGGTGGGGACGGAGGAGAGGCACAGGAGGAGATCTCTGCTGCCTGCTAGCCTGTGGCCGAGGCCCAGGGGCACATGAGTCCTCTTGGAAGCCTCAGTTTTCCTCCTCTGTGAAAGGGCGGGTGGTGCCCCTCTGGCATGTTGCTGCTGTCGGGGAAAGGATCCCTCTTCACGTCCAGGTTGCTCTGTAACGCTGAGTGTTTTGGCAACCGTATATCTGAGGCTAGAAAGCTGGCCTGCAGGGGACTTGGCAGTGGTTGTGGCGCCCCTTTTCTGACTGGTGGTGTGGGTCAAGTGGGGTGCTGGAGGGAGGAAGATATGCCCCTGCCCCCAGGGGCTTCCAGAGCTGCTTCCAGATAGACCCCCTCAGTGCTTCCCAAGTCCACTCATTATCCCAGGCGCCTTCTGTCTCCACCAGCCCCCTGGGGGGACAGTTCCAATGTGAGGCTCTGACTGGGGATTCCAGCCAACCCCTTAGAGAGAGCCTTCCCACCCCAGTGGAACTGCAGTTCGGGGCTGAGCCTCTTTCAGCCCCAGTCAGCTTTGAAGATGCTGACTTTCTAGCTGGAGGAAGTTCAGCTTCTATGGTGGGCTCTCGGAGACCTGGGGTGCAGCCCCTCGCTCTGGGAGGGGGAGACCACTAGAGAGGGCAGGCGATGCCTGAGGCCACAGTGGAATCACTGAAGGAACTGCTCGTGGCTAGTGTGGGGGCCGCTGAGCCAGGACTGGAGTGAGAGGCTGTCGTCACCCTCAGCCCCTCTGGCTGGGAGGAGGCAAGATGCTCGGGGCTGAGCATCCTCATGCGGTTCTCTGCCTCACCTGCCTGCCTACCATGTTTGTTTATTTTGTGTCCGTCATCCCATTGTTAAAGCCCTCCGGGGCCCAGGATCCAAAATGAAACCCTGACTACAATACATAAAACACCTGTCCTTGGCCACCTGCAGGATCCAGGGCCCCAGTGTGGCAGGAGCATATACTGCCCACTCAGCAGCTCTGTGGCCCCTGCAGGCACCCATGAGGTGAGAGACCAGGGTAGGCCAGGAGGTGTGGCCTGGCAGCTGTGTTCCTGCTTTGCCGCTTGAGGGGGCCTCAGTGCCTCCGTCTTTCAGGACAGCCACCTGTCAAAGGGGAGGGAAGCGGTCACTGGAGGGCAGTTCCCTTTGGCGCTGTCCTGGTCCTGAGGAGCATGGCCCCTTGCTCTGCAGTGCTGACTGCCAGGCCCGTGGTGGGGGCCACACACAATGCCCACCAGCTTCCCTCAGTATATTTGAATTCCCACTCCTCGGTGGGCCTGTTCCAGCACAGGCCCCCATCGGAGGGGCTTTGATCTCTGCAAAAATGCACATTTGCGTGCATGCACGCACACACACACACACACACACACACACACACACGATCAATTTCTTGGGTCTGCTGTCTGTCACATGTTGCACTGAGGTGACAGACACACCACCGGCCCACAGGCATCTCCCTCACTAGCAGGTGACAGGCACCTGCGACCATTTGACCAAAGAGTGTCGTGTTCCAGGTGGGACTCCAAGGCCCAGGCTTTGAGCGTCTTTCTCTCGTTGCCCCGGTCGCCGGGAAGCTCCCGCTTCAGTCATTACACGGGGCTCTGGTGTCTGCCTGCCTGGCGTACCTTCTTCACGTTGTGTTTTCACCATTTGGTAACATAATTTTTCTATCAATTGGCTCAAGTAATTTTTTTTTTTTTGAAGTAGGTGTGCTGCTGCTACTAATAGATGTAGGGCGATTCTGTGTTGTAGGCAAGAAATGATCTCTGCTAAGTAGGTCAAGGATGGCTTCGTGGAGGAGGAGACCTTTAGGGTAGAAGATCACAAAGGCTGCTGGGGCGGGAGCTGGGAGAGCTCTCCAGAAGGCGAGGCCTCAGAGGCAGGAATGGGCAGGACAAGGCGGGAGGCCTGGGTACCTTCACTGGGGGAGTCGGGGGAGTGGGAGGTGAGGGAGGAGGGTAGGTTGAGGCAAGGGGTTTCAAGCGCCAGCTTCTTGTCTGTGTGAGGGACCCTTTCGTTCCTCAGCCCACTCTCCAGCAGCCCCACCCGGCCCAAGCTGGGTGCTAAAAGTCCTGTTTACCTCTGCAGGTCCCCAGCCTCACGCCCGCGCCAGCCCCAGCTGCCGGCCCAATTACTTATTGATCGCCTGTCAGGATGTTTGCTTTTCTGGTGGGTCACTGGAGCGTGTGTGACTGTGGAAAATGGCCTGGTGGGGTGGGGTGGGGGGAGGCTGAACCACAGAAGAGTCTGGAGAGGGGATGAGAGGGTGGGGGGGTACAAAGCCCCAGGGGATGACAAAACCTTGCAGATTCCATAACATGTCAGTGACACCGGAGCCCTCTCCAGTTAATCAGTCACTTAGTCGATCGACATCCAGGGAGAGCCTGTCAGTGCTGGGAGGCCGCCGAGCACTGGAGAGTGAGTGGAGTCACTGGAGTCTGACAGGCCAGAGCCCTGGCCCCAGATGAGCCCCCTCTGCTAGCCGGGTGTCCTGGGAGGTCCCCAGCACTGCAAGGGTTGAAATGTGAACGACAAGACCTGTGTCCTGGAAAGCAGACTGGGTGCAGGCGTGGGGAGGGGCCTGGAGAAGGGGAAGGGGCTGAGCTGGGGCGGAGAGGTGGCTCCTCCCCGCCTGGCTCCCCGGCCTGGTGCGCCCCTGGGGCCACGCGTGTATGGTGTGTGGACAGGCAGCGAGTCCCAAAGGTACCGGCTGGGATGAGTGACAGGGAGAGATCTTCCGGGGTGACTGCAGCTGGACCCTCCGGAGACCATCTATTCAGCCCAGCCCCAGCCTGGCAAGAGTGCGGACAGGCCTTCTTAGTCCCCTGCTGCCCTGCCAGCAAGTTTCCCTGGAAGGGGCAGGGATGGGGAGAGGTCCCGCGGGAGCAAGTGGCCTCTGACCTCGGGCTGGGCGAGAGTAAGGGGAGGCTAGCTCCCACCCCAGCCCTGGCCCAGTCCACCTGCAGCTGGTCTTCAAGCCCTCCTCTCCATTCCAGCATCATCTCCCCTGTCGCTGCCGCCCAAGTCCTGCAAATTCCTTACACCCAGCTGTGACGAGATGCACCACATCAGTGCTTCAGTACAGACAGGCACCCTGGGCTGCCCCACTCAGAGTCTGGCCGCGCCCCCTGGACTAGCAGCCACACAGAGGAGGGAGATTAGAATCCGAGAGATGGACGGGTGAAGACTGGGGCAAGCGGCTCCAAGCAGTGGACATTAATTAGGCCTTGAAGATGGAGATTCCAGCAGGCAGGGGAGGGGACGTTTCAGGAGGAAGGAAGTGCAGGAGGCAAAGCCAGAGAACCCTCCTCCCTGGGCCTAGCCTCGGGCCCTGAGGAATGGGGAGCGAGGAAGGAGAGCATCAGAGACGCTGCACAGGCAGGCGTCAGGGCTGGGTGGGGCCTGCCACTGGCCTGAATCCCCCGCGGCGCCAATTTGCGAACACAGATGGGTACCTTTGGTTTTGCGGTTTGCTCAGGACTTGTGGGCTGGGGCTCAGCTGCGGGCCTGGGGTGGGACCCTGGCATCTGTGTCTGAGGAAGCTCAAGCTAGAGGCAAGGGGGCGGGTCTCAAAAGCCCTGGCCTAGCCGCTTGGAGACCAGACGAGCCCCTCTGATCCCCCGTGAGCCCCGAGGGCGGCTCAGCATGCCTGGCTTTATCCTCGCTGGGCACCAGGGGAACTGAGGCTCAGCTTGTGGGGGGCACGCTGGGAGCCACAGTGCCAGTAAAATATAAAGGAGGTGGATGTACCCGGGCCAGACCGACACCAGACTTCTGTGAGGTGACCCTGCCGCTTCCATGAACCCCCTCAGTCCCAGAAATACTTGAAGGTTCTGGGAGGGTAAGGGGCCAGGAGAGGGCAGGAGCCTCTTACCTCACTGTCCCCAACGAGTGGGCCCCACCTCTCTGTCAGGGACACTCTAAAGGGGCGGGAGGCTTGTGGTGGGTCCAGCCCAACGCTGTCCTCTAACGGCTCCCTGTCCTGTCCTTGCTCCCACTGCAGGTGAGCGAGAGAATGCTGGCGGGGGGTGTGAGGAGCATGCCCAGCCCCCTCCTGGCCTGCTGGCAGCCCATCCTCCTGCTGGTGCTGGGCTCCGTGTTGTCAGGCTCGGCCACGGGCTGCCCGCCGCGCTGCGAGTGCTCCGCCCAGGACCGGGCCGTGCTCTGCCACCGAAAGCGATTCGTGGCGGTGCCCGAGGGCATCCCCACAGAGACCCGCCTGCTGGACCTGGGCAAGAACCGCATCAAAACCCTCAACCAGGACGAGTTCGCCAGCTTCCCGCACTTGGAGGAGCTGGAGCTCAACGAGAACATCGTGAGCGCCGTGGAGCCGGGCGCCTTCAACAACCTCTTCAACCTGCGGACGCTGGGCCTGCGCAGCAACCGCCTGAAGCTCATCCCCCTGGGCGTCTTCACCGGCCTCAGCAACCTGACCAAGCTGGACATCAGCGAGAACAAGATCGTCATCCTGCTGGACTACATGTTCCAGGACCTGTACAACCTCAAGTCACTGGAGGTCGGTGACAACGACCTGGTCTACATCTCCCACCGCGCCTTCAGCGGCCTCAACAGCCTGGAGCAGCTGACGCTGGAGAAATGCAACCTGACCTCCATCCCCACCGAGGCGCTGTCCCACCTGCACGGCCTCATCGTTCTGCGGCTCCGGCACCTCAACATCAACGCCATCCGGGACTACTCCTTCAAGAGGTTATACCGGCTCAAGATCTTGGAGATTTCCCACTGGCCCTACTTGGACACCATGACACCCAACTGCCTCTACGGCCTCAACCTGACGTCCCTGTCCATCACTCACTGCAATCTGACCGCCGTGCCCTACCTGGCCGTGCGCCACCTGGTCTATCTCCGCTTCCTCAACCTCTCCTACAACCCCATAGGCACCATCGAGGGCTCCATGCTGCATGAGCTGCTCCGGCTGCAGGAGCTCCAGCTGGTGGGCGGGCAGCTGGCCGTGGTGGAGCCCTACGCCTTCCGCGGCCTCAACTACCTGCGCGTGCTCAATGTCTCGGGCAACCAGCTGACCACCCTGGAGGAGTCGGCCTTCCACTCTGTGGGCAACCTGGAGACACTCATCCTGGACTCCAACCCGCTGGCCTGCGACTGCCGGCTCCTGTGGGTGTTCCGGCGCCGCTGGCGGCTCAACTTCAACCGGCAGCAGCCCACCTGCGCCACGCCCGAGTTTGTCCAGGGCAAGGAATTCAAGGACTTCCCGGATGTGCTCCTGCCCAACTACTTCACCTGCCGCCGCGCCCGCATCCGGGACCGCAAGGCCCAGCAGGTGTTCGTGGATGAGGGCCACACGGTGCAGTTTGTGTGCAGGGCGGACGGCGACCCCCCGCCCGCCATCCTCTGGCTCTCGCCTCGCAAGCACCTGGTCTCTGCCAAGAGCAACGGGAGGCTCACGGTCTTCCCCGACGGCACGCTGGAGGTGCGCTACGCCCAGGTGCAGGACAACGGCACGTACCTGTGCATCGCGGCCAATGCAGGCGGCAACGACTCCATGCCCGCCCACCTGCACGTGCGCAGCTACTCGCCCGACTGGCCCCATCAGCCCAACAAGACCTTCGCCTTCATCTCCAACCAGCCGGGCGAGGGGGAGGCCAACAGCACCCGAGCCACCGTGCCTTTCCCCTTCGACATCAAGACCCTCATCATCGCTACCACCATGGGCTTCATCTCCTTCCTGGGCGTCGTGCTCTTCTGCCTGGTGCTGCTGTTCCTCTGGAGCCGAGGCAAGGGCAACACGAAGCACAACATCGAGATCGAGTACGTGCCCCGCAAGTCGGACGCGGGCATCAGCTCAGCCGACGCGCCCCGGAAGTTCAACATGAAGATGATATGAGGCTGGGGCGGGGGGCGGGGCAGGGGCCTGGCTGCTGCCTGCCGCTCCCCCGACTCTCCCGGCTCCCTCCTGCCCTCCACACAGACTCTTTGTCCCCCCCTTTCCTGTCTCTGATGCCCCCCGCCGGCCCTCACCTCCTGCCCTCTTTCCACCAGGACCTCGGAAGTCCAGGCCTGGGGACCCCGCCTGCGCAGGGGCGCACAGTGGATAGACTGGAGGCAGAGGGTGACGAACCAACACGTGGCACAGTCAGTAATTCAATAAAAAAAAGTTACGAACTTCCTCTGTAACCTGGGTTTCAATAATTATGGATTTTTATGAAAACTTGACATAATAAAAAGAAAAAAAACTCTTTCCAAAGCTAGTCGGAATGCGAACTTTTGCCGTCCTGATCGCCCCAGGGCCCTCTTCCGACTCAGCTGCTTGTTTTTCTCTTCCTCCTCCTCTCCCTCCTTTCTCTTCGCTTCCCCTGTGGGGAGGGATCACTCAGGAAAACAGGAAAGGAGGCTCCTGCCCCACCCGCTCACCCGCCCTGCCTGGGCAGCTGCCGGGAGCAGGAGGTGGCAGGTGTGGACCCAGCTCTGGGTTGGCTGTTTGCAGAGAGCGGGTGAGGGGACGGGGCTGCCCTGAGAAGGTGTGGGGGGGGCCTGTCTGCTGAGCTGCCAGGCAGCACTGCTGTGTGTGGGGGGGACAGTGGGGGGTGGGGCCTGGCCCAGTGGTGGCTCAGACTCTGGACAGGGGCTGGGGTCCTCCCGGAGGACGGCACAGGCAGGGGAGAGAGCCAGGGGCTGAAGGCATGACTGCAGCCTAGCTTCTGGCCCCAGCTCTGCCACTACGCGCTGTGTGGCCTCGACGAGGCCACTGACCCTCTCTGGGCCTCCGTCTTCACATCTGTATAAACGGAAACGTTACTCCCCGCCCTGCCTACCTCACAGGGCTGTTGTGAGGAATTGATGAGATGATGTATGTGAAACACTTTGTAACCTGTAAAGCGCTGTGCACACGTGTGGGTGACTGTTCTTGTTATGGTCATTCTTATCTCATTGGGGGAGGGTGGGGTCCTGAAGGGGTCTCCTCTGGATTAGGGTTGGGGGCTCCAGGGACTTCCAGGACAGAGGCTCAGGCTGTGCCAGAATCTTTGGCTGAATGGACAGGACTCTTGACCCGCAGGGGAGCTCCAGGGTCTGTGGGCATCTGCCACCTCTAATTTGGGGCCCCCACACAGAAGCCCCCCTGCAGCTTTGGCCTGGTCCTGTCAAGGGATGGCGAGCATCAGCCTTGTCACAAGCATTTATCAAGTGCCTGCCACACACCCCTCCCAACGAAGCACGCCAGAATTTGGGGCGCGGGTGAGCATCCTGGCTTTGCCCCATCTTGCACCAGGCTGGACTCTGAGCCAGTGCTGGGCTTTGAAGTGTTCTGAGTCCCCCTGCACATGAACTGACCAGGAGTGTCGATGTCAGTCTCCTCCTCTGCCCCCCAGCCGGTCCCACCCATTACACCAAACCTACATGCTCCAAGCTCAGGCCGGGAAAGCCATGCCCAGGCGTTAGAGCCAACAGCAAACAGGTCTGCTTGCAACTTCCCCTGAATCCATGGCCTTGTCTCCAGAAGCTGGTGCAGTAGCTTGTCCTGCAGACCATGTGCTCACCCCCCGTCTCTGGGGCAAAGAGGGGGCAACCAGGGGCAGGGAGGCCTGGCTTCTCCCCACTCCCAGAGTTTCCCTTCTCTCCTCAGGGATTCCTTGAATTCAGCTCCATAGTGGACGCAGGATGACCGCGCCGCCTGTTAGCCCCGGGAGTGAGGGAGAATCCAGGAATGCGGGACCCATGGGCACAGACTTGGATGCGCTTAAAGGGAGAGTGATAGGGAAGTCAGCCCTCAGCAAGAAGAACCCGCCCAAAATGTGACTCCAGTCAGATCAGGGAGCTTAACCCCCAGTCCAAGCCAGTGTGAGCCAGTAGCGCCTCTAAAGCAAGACTCTGGCGGGGCGTGCCGTGAGCAGGCCGCTGTGGAGTCGGCGCTCACTGGTTCCTTCATCCACGCAATCCATCTACGCACAGACCTGGGCCCGCTGCCAGCTCCCCACCCGTGCAGCTCACACCACAGCTGGGGCGCCTGCCCTCGCCCCCTTCCTCATCCACCACCCCAGTTCTGCGCGCGGTTTGGGGGAAGACGCCTCGATCCCTGTGAATTGTGGATTTCTCCCTCGGGAGAATGGGATCCTCGCCCCCCGGGACCCTGGCATGTTGCTGTGGGAAAGGTTGATGGGCTCTGGAGCAGCCTAGACTGCTGTCTGCGGGGCTCTGGGCCTGGGGTCCGGGCTGACTTTGAGTTCCTGTTCCAGCAGTTACAAGCGCTTTGGGACCTTAACCTCTGAGCGCCCGCCTGCTCCTCTGCGCCAGGAAGACGCCTGCACCGCTTGCGGCTGTTGGGAGGTTGAAGGAGGGAGCATAGGTGTACCGCTTGGTTGGGACAGTGCCTGGCATCAGTAAACCCGTGCACATGGCGAGTCGTTGTACTGTTGCGTTCCCGTCCTGCACAGTTGCGGAGCCCGAGGACCAGAGAGGGTAGTAGCTTCCCCACGGCCACACAGCTTCTAAGTCACAGGACCGGGGCCTGCAGTTTGCAGACTCGCAACTTGGCTTGGAGCTTCTAAGGACCAAGCCTGGGGACCCCATCTGGCAGGAGAGTTCTGTGGGGAAGGAGAAGAGACCCTGAGTCTGGATGGCTGCACACCAGAGGCCAGGGCTCTCAGGTGAGGCTTCAAGAACCCAACAGCCCTGTCCCCCTCCAGAGAGACCAGCAGCCCAGCCTTGGGTGCCCTCTCAGTGCTGTCTTGCCATGGGGGAAGCCCGTGAGAAGGTTGCTCTTGCTACACGGATGCCTGTGGCTCCACCAGGTTCTGGTAAGAACGGGAGATTCAAGAGGCCAATTTATTCATGGTTATTGGCGGGAATATGACCTCACGTGAAACTCTCGGATACAAGACAGTTGTGAGGTTGTCTTCAGGGGGAAGGCTCAGTCCAGAGGCGTGTGAGCACCCGAGGTCAGGGAGGCTAGGGACTGGGCGGCGAGCCGGGCAGCCTGGGTTTTACTGCTGCCCCTTCCTGCCGTGGGGCCTCCCTCTAGAGGAGAGAGTGATGCGCTCAGCTGCGAAGACCCCTGCTAGACAGGGAATAGTCTGGAAAGTCAGGCAGGAAGAGTCCATAGCAGCCCCGCCCCGCCAGCAGCCTGGCGCGTGCACAGCAGGAAGCTGTGGTCATGCATACAGGGGCCAGAGCTGTCCTGGGCCACCATTTCCACACAGTCCAAGTACCCCCATCCGCCCCGCTTTGGAGCCAAAGGGGCCTGGAGTGCAGATGTGCTATCACCTCGCGTCCTACAAGGAGCTGACTTCTCTGCTCCCCTTCATCCTGGATTTAAGCTCCTGGAGGAACGACAAGGGCCTGAATCCTGAGAGTTGAGGCTGCTTCCCAGAAGACGCAGGCCAGAGGCAGCCTCCAGGCCTGCACATCCATGAGGCAGCCTGGCTTGAAGAAAAAGGGTGCTGGGACGGGGAACCCCCTCCACCGACAAGAAGTGGACCCAGCCACGGTCATCACCCGGGAGGGCAGGCATTAGAGGGAACAGCAATCCTCGGGATCCCCCCTCCCACCCTTTGGCCCCCACTTACCCCTCACGAGCAAGGAGGCTCAGAGAGGGAGGTAAGCTGCCTGGAGTCACACAGCCAAGTGGCGGATGGGGCGTGGGCCTGGGGGCGAGCAGGCCTCGGTTCAGATCCCGGCTCAGGCATGGCGCTGAGTGTGCGCCACACCTGCTTCTCTTCGTCTGCCATCATCGGGGACAAGTGTGGGCTTGGCGGTTGGGCTCGGGCACTGGGAGGGCAGGGGCCTGGCGGGGACACAGTGGGTATGCCAGAGAGCTGGGGTTCAGGGGGGCTGGGGTAGAAACCAACCCCCACAGGCCGTCCGGTCTGCCACTGAGGGCGTCGCCAAGGCTGTGTGGGGAGGACAGGAGCAGACCCCAGGCCACCACCCCGGCTGCCGTGGCTGAGCGGCCGTGCCTTGGGATGCTGGAGGACAAGGCCACGCCTGTGGGTTTTGGGGGGCACTGAGGTCCCAGGGCCAGGGAGAAGGGGTCAGAGGGGCAGTGCAGAAGCCTGGCCTCGGAGTCCCAGGGGACCTTGAGTCTTTGGATTCGAGACGTCCACGGAGCCGGCGGTGCAGACTGACCGGAGTGAAGTGACTCACTGGCGCGCGCGCAGAGCCGGGCACCTTGTCCGTCCTTGCTTTCCCCAAGTTGGTGTTTTCTCACCACCTGTCGGCCTCTGAGCACCACCTACCACTCCTCCAAAACCCCAGTCCAGCCTCCTTCACAGTCGGCCTCAGGATCTCTGATTTCTTCATTCATATTCTCCAGAGGAAAAAATTCCAGTTCGCCACCTGCCAGCCACTGGATTGGCTGCCGGGAGTCGGGTGCTCAGGCCTTTGTCCAACCAGCCCAGGCCAAAGAGCTGGGCCTGGTCCAAGCCAAGTTTGGGAGAAGATGATGCAGAAAGGACTAAGGGACAAGATCAATTATCGCTGCACGTCAACCCTCTCAAGCGTAGTGCTTTCACACAACCACCGCCATTTACTTGTTGCCAGTTTAGCAGCCTGGGCGGGGCTTGCTACGGAGAGCTCACCTCTGCTCTTCTACCAGGGAGACCTGATCAGGGTGGAAAGATCCAACTGTCATCCCAGCTGGGGAGACTGGGAGGGCTGGAAGGCATCTGGCCTCTGTGTTTCCACACAGTATCTCCAGCAGGCTAGCTGGACCCTCTGTGGTGGCTCAGCACCCCCAAGATGGCAAAATGGAAGCTGCCAGGTCTCTGGGGCTCAGCCAGGAATCCCACACCTTCACATCTGCTGTGTTCTGTTGGTTGTGGCAAGTCACAGGCCCACCTAGATTCAGGGGACGGTGGACAGACCCCAGGTCTTGGTGGCAGGAGCTGCAGCCACATGGCAAAAGGACAGGCAGGATGTGAGGGTCACAGCAGCCACCTTGGAAATAACCCTCCAAGGGACCCTGTGGTACCTTCCTTGAAGGAGCCATGCATTGGTGCACAGCCTCCGGTTTACCCAGGGGCAGGGGACTTAGGGGCGGGGACTGGATCTACAGCTGGTAAGGGAAGAGCCAGGATGTACCCCAAGTTTGCTGCCCCTGTCAGGTGTCCTTCCCAGGAGATGCAAGGGCAGGGTCCCGGGGGTAACACAGCAATGATAGAACAGCTCTTTCCCAAGGGCCTGTGCCAGGCACAGAGCCACGCACGACCCACATTCTCTTCTTTCATCCCACCACAGGAAGGTTCTCATTGTGCTGCCTTTTGGATGAGAACACCTCAGGGAGGACTGCCAGGGGCTTACCACCAGGTGGGTGAGTCACACTCAGGTGCCGGGACCTCATGGCACAAAACCAGCAGCCTGGCCCCTAGTCCAGACCCGTCCAGACTCAGCTTTTTAGCTGTCAAGTGGGCACAGCCATGCAACTTCCTCTGCCTCCCTCCTCTGTGGGAGGGGACGAGGTGGGGATGGAGGGTGCTCTGGCATGGGGGATGGGTGCGTGGGTGGGGGTCAGCAGAAAGTCCCCACCTAACATTTCCCCCTCCCAGCTCCCAGTCCACCTGGCATGTCCACGGAGCCCTGAGGTGAGAGCGTGAGATTTAAGGCCCAGCAGCCTATTCTGAGGGTTACCTTACTACCTGCTGGGCAACTGCCCGCTACCGGGTGGGGGTCTGAGAACAGGCCGTGCAGTGTGGCCTGTCTTTGACTGCCTGGGGACTCCATCGCCCCGCCTGTAAGGGAACACACAGCCTCCCATAAACCCGTCACGGCCCATCCTGCATCCGTACCCTAGGCCCCGTCCCCATGCCAGGTGATGGCTTGTGTCTGGGAAAGTGGGACCTTGGGAAGCCGTGGAGACTAGGGCCTGTGTCTCAGGCCCCGCCGCCCTCCCCGCCCAGGTCTCGCATGCCCCAGTCCTCGTGCTAACCCAGGCCCCGCGCGTGACC